CCTGGGGTGCAAGCAGCAGCGGGAACCACACCCCCAACAAGCCATGGGTCCATCCTGCGCCCCATCCCACCCCAGCTGGGCAGCACCTATCTCTGCTCCCTCCTTCACCGCAAGGGGCGCTGATCTTCCCCCACCCTCCATGCCCCTTCCCTCCCCCTCCCCTTCCAACACACCAGACTTATCAGATGGAGGCAGCAATCCATGGTGCCAACCTCATTGCCTGAGTGCTATGCTGTGGCTGCACACAGCATGGGCATTTATCGGCCAAATTATCAGCCCCATTGGGCTGATATCCGACACAGCAGTTTTCTTTATATCAGTACTGATCCAATGTTTTTACAACAAAACTAAAAGTGCAATATCAACCATTTAATCCTATGGATAGAATAATTAGTTCCATCTGAAGTTTTGGAGAGAGACCCAGTAATAAAATGATCTAAGACAATAAGTTAGGATACTAACATGCTAACTTAATCAATAAACAATTCAACTTAATAAATGTGCTGTACCCAGTTTAATTGCAACCCACTTTAGTTTCAAAATAACTTAGTTCTGGGAATTAATATACACTGAGGTAATGTCCTATTTAGGATATTAGCATAGTGCCATTTGTTCACATAATGCTTTGCAAATAATAAGCAGAGTCTCTGTCCCAGAAATAAAATAATTTCATGACCAAACCTGAAAAAAATCCCTCACTTAGGTCCAGTTTTCCTCCTCTGAACGCCTTGTCTACACACAAACTCACACTAATTTAGTTACAACAGTGCACCCTATATAGGCACACTTATACCATATTAGACATGGTTTATATCATATTTAGTTCAGTGCAACTGTGTTTGTAGACATGACTGGAATAAGGCTTCACAGAATCATACCTTTAGTTATAAATTAGTTCACTGGTACTGTAAAAGCCTTTGGCACCTAATACCACCTTTTCTAACCAGTCTGTCTTCTGTACAGACTCTCCTCATCATCAGTGTCAGCCTCCCGGTTAGAGCAATCAGCTAGGTATGGAACAATCATTATCAATACCACCGGTAGAGCTCTTAGATATGGCTTCTTGCATGGGAGTAGAGGAAGCCTAGATTTTCCAATGCTCTGTATCTTACATACACCAATATGATACATATGTTAAAAAAAAAAGTTACCAAATTTGCCCAGTAGAGTTTAATGCTCCTTTTGCACATGTAAATGACTACCCAAGGGACATGAGAGTGGAGAATCAAGCTTCAGAAGCTTGCCCTTTCTGGATAAAGTCAACAAGAGATAATTTACTCAACAATGTCACCACTTTAAATGAGGAAGTTACTAAGTACCAGATTTGAGCAATACTTGAATATGGCTACAAAACTCACATTGTAAAATTTTAACTTGAAGAATAATATTAAAAACAATTGAGATAATATAACAATTCTTTCAGTAGAAAGGATTTCACTCTTCATTTTTCTTACAAAACTATTCTGCCTTCTTACATTGTTTCCCCAGGGGATGCTTGCTTTGGGTCTGTCTTAGTATTCTTTAATGACTTGAAGGACAGAATTGAGCACATGCTTTAATAAACCTGTGGATGATGAGCTGGCAGGAATAGCAGACATTTTGGAAGATAGGATCAGGATTCAAAATGACCTTGACAAACTGGAAAAAAATGGTCTGAAATTCAATAAAAGACAAGAGCAAAGTACTGCCCTCAGGACAGAGCAATCACATGCAGATACAAAATGGGGAATAATTGGCTAGGCTGCATTACTGCAGAAAAAGACTTGGGGTTTACAGTGGGTTAAAAAGATTTAGGTTGGATATGAGCAGAGATCCGGGTTTTCAGTTTCCCATAAAAAACAGAAATAACAGCAGATTTTCCCTTTACCTGAGAAAAAGAAGGATTTCTTCATTTTAATGGAGAAACGTGGATGTTGCTCTGTTATTATAATGATTGAGGCACTGGTAGGCTTCCAAACTGCTTTAACATCGTAAATATATCAATAAAACACAATTGTGTTCAATTGATACCTATATGTAAAGCACTGTTTCATTTTAATCATGGATTTTGGGGGTTTTATCAGAAAATTTGCAATTTTTTATGAGAGAAAACCAGTATCCCTGGATATCAGGAAGAACTTTCTATGATGGAGGTTAAGGACTGAAACAGACTACAATGAAAGATGGAGAATCTCTGTCCTTGTTTAATCTTCACTTAACTTCCATATATTTGTCTGAGATAGTTTATGCAGGAATGTTTCTGCCAGGGGGTTGGACTAGACGATAGGAAAGCAGGGCTGGAAGGGATCTCACAAGGCCATCTAGTCCAGCCCCCTACTCAAGCCAGGATCATCCCTGACTAAACCATGCAAGCCAAGCATCTGTCTGATCTGCTTTTGAAAGTTTCCAAGGATGGAGACTCCACAAATTCTCTAGGTAGCTGATCAATGACCACTCTCAGTTAGAAAGTTCCTCCTAATCTCCGGCCTAAATTTTTCCTGCCACAGCTTTAGGTTGTTGCTCCTAGTCCTGTCCCTTACAGCCACAAAGAAAAGCTCATCTCCATCTTCTTTATAAAAGTCACTCTTCACGTATCTGAAGACTGTTATCAATCCCTCCCTCTCCCCTGTCCAACTTTTCTCTTCTCCAGACTAAACAGCCCTAGTTTTTTCTTGCCTCCCAAGGCCCCTAATTGTTTTTGCTGCCTTGCGCTGGACTCTTTCCAAACGGTCCATGTCTTTCTTGAAATGTGGGGCCCAAAACTGGACACAGAACTCCAGGTGAAACCTTACCAGTGCTGGATAGAGGAAAGAATCACTTCCCGAGACTCTCTGAGGTCCCTCCAGGCCTACTTTTCTATGACACTTTGATCAAACTTAACTCCAAACCACTAATGTTTGTCAATTTTTGTATGCTCAAGGTGGAGTTTCAGAGGTGCTCAGTACTGGCCTCTCTCTGCTCTCACCTAGGTCAATGGTAAAATTTTCAGCAACAGCAAGTGTGAAGTCAGAACAACAGCAAGTGTTTTTGATAAACCTTTCCTGAACATACAGCAAACAATACTCAAGACACACACTTATTATGTAGCCCTACAGAATACACGTTATAGGAATAGGACTGCATGTGTTTGGCTCAGTGCCTCTATACTCCTAATTAATTATTTGTACTAAACTGATATGAGACAAACAACTTACACTAAGTTAGCTCAAGACTTCCTCTCTCTTATCATGATCAGTCAGGTTTTAAGTTTCACTGCTCAGCAAACTAATTAACCTGTCCCTATCCACCATTTTAGCTAAACCATTGAAGTTAATCATCCAGAGTTCTCCCCTCTTGCCAATGAGAAACAAAAATGAAGTCATATGGTCTATACTCCCCAGAGAGAAAAGACAGTCTTGTGGCTAATACATAGTTCAGGAATGAGAAGGCCTGAGCTTTGCCACAGACTTCCTGTGTGATCTTGGGCAGATCATTTAACCTTTGTCATAGTTTCTATATCCTATCTTCTGCCTTTCTCCTCCCAAAATTAGACCACCATATAGGTGCTTTGATGGGGCAGAACCATGGGACCATTCAAAATCTGCCATCAGTCCAGAATATGGAAGACCATCTATTAGGGGGCATTTTCATGGGATGCACAAAATACTAGTGGTCCATGTGCTGCACTGGCTGCGTGGA